AGTATTTTCAAATAGGCATTCATGAGTATTTTCAGCGAAGTGTAGAACTTAATTATTTTTATAAAAGTATTGTCAAATATTTTTCGGAGAAGACATATGTTTTGCTCATCAACAATGATTTAATATTTCAAGATTTTATGGATAGTTTAACAAACAAATACGTCCAATTTTGTATTTCACAGAAAAATTTGTCTTTAGATAAAAGACAAATTATTTATTTTTACTATTTAAAATTAAATTCTCGAAAAAAATTGCACATAATATTACAATTTATTAAATTATTTTAATATTAATTTTTAATTTTGATTTTTATCATAAGAAAGGAATATTTTTCCAACATAAATAAATATTGATTTTCCGATCATCAAGAAAAATCTTACATATAATAATAATTTTTATGAGTTTCATATATTTCATCGTTATATTTTTTTACTCAAAATTTCTTAAACATTTAATGTATATAAGTCGAGCATATGTTCAATAACAGAAAGAAATACAAGAAATACTCGATAGGCAGGATCTTAGGCGTCCAATAATCTCTTGTATATAAAAATTCAAGATAATTGTTTATATCATCAATTATGCTTCCTTCTTTCTCTTCTCTTTCATCCCCATTATTTTTAACGATGTGCAACTCAAGTCAAAGATGAATTTTTCCTTTAATCAATAATCAAATAATAATATCGATTATCCTTTCTTCCACAAAAATTTTTATTACGAAAAATATCATCTAGCCAAGATTCAAATTTAGACCTAACTTCGAAGGCGGGCATCTTTACTTCAATTAGATATTTTATACACATGTATTTCTATTCCGTTATAAAACACTCTTAGACAAATAAAAGCAAAATTCTATGGTTTGATCTTTTCCTTGAATTTTTTGCATTCAACATTGTTTCAACATTGTTGCATCGTTTAATTACAACATATTAAGACTAAAAACTATCGATAATGTATAGGACATAATCGCATATACAGTTAATATAGTTTTCTCATCGACAATCGGATGCATACACATTTATTAGAAATGAGATATCTTTAGATTGATGTATATGCGTCTTTCGTATACAAAGTAAAGAAATATCGTATACAAAGTAAAGAATAGTTAATATCAAACATGTGAGATAACAATGTTAGACAAGATCAAATAGTAAATGCATTTTCCGACAAATGTATAGGAACAACATTTAGAATTCATAAATTAATATTAAGTTGACAGCAGACTTACGACTTACATATTTATTATATATAAAGTTACATATGTATTATATATAAAGATATTAATTATTATTTATTTTTACAATATTATGGAATAAATTTCTCAAAGTTGAAAATTTGTTATACTTTGAAAATCAAAGTAATAAATCAAAATACCGATGAAAAGCAAATTGTCAAATTAACTTGAAAAATCAGAAATATGTTAGATATTGACGTTTAATACTGAAAATTATTATGTATTGCAATGTATAAGAATTAACCATAAAAATATGTATCAATTATGATCTATTCTGTAACATGACAAAAACAATTTATTTTTGAGACAAATGATGTCTGTGATAATGAAAAATAGATATAGTATCGAGCAAAATGTATGTAAAAATCGAAATAGAAGATCAGTTAAAATGAATTATTAAAATATTCAGAATCACTAAAATACTCGAAAGTCTGACTTCAATTTAAAAAAAATTCATAATAACGCTGTTAAAAAGACTTCATACATTGTGAGTTCTTACAATTAAATGATTAATCTTAACACGTGACAGAACATATTATAATTAAACCAATTAAAATATTCAGTATTGAGAATCATATTTCATGTTCAAAAATAATATTAGACTTGGAAGATTGTCATTTGATAAATAGTTTTACCCCCTGCTCTCTTTCTATTCACTTTCATTTTCTTTCCTATTCTTTATAATTTAGCTATTCTTAATTTTTTCGATATGGCATGCTTTACAGATGTTTACGTCGAGTCGAGTTATATATATATCTGTGTACATATATCGATTTTACGTTGCCGTAGATGTATGGCGTTTATAGAAAAACATTTGATAAAAACGAATTAAAAAATTTTGTTTTAGTAAAAAATTTTAGAAGAGACTAGAAAATTTTGAGATATTTTTTATTTTTTTCAGTTTACTGAAAAAATTCTTCGGAACAGATTTGCTACACAGCAAGAGATAATTAAATTAATATGTTAACTATACTCTAAAAAATATCAATGTGAAATTAATATCAATGGTGTAAATTTTTAATATCATATGGATTTATATAATTTTCATCAGTGTTGGTGTGAAATCAATACTGTTTGCTTGGTATGAAAAATTTACACCAACTTTTATGCTCCTTTGTATATCTATTGTTTTAAAAGTGAATATTTTAAGATTTTAATGTTAAATACTTGTACTAAACATTCGCCTCCTAATTGTTCGTCGATGTAATCCATGAAACTTCTTCAAT